ACACACCTTGTACACATGACACACCTTGTACACACGACACACCTTGTACACACGACACACCTTGTACACATGACACACCTTGTACACACGACACACGACACACCTTGTACACACGACACACCTTGTACACATGACACACCTTGTACACACGACACACCTTGTACACACGACACACCTTGTCACATGACACACCTTGTACACACGACACACGACACACCTTGTACACATGACACACCTTGTGCAGATGACACACCTTGTGCAGATGACACACCTTGTACACACGACACACGACACACATTGTACACACGACACACGACACACCTTGTACACACGACACACCTTGTACAAACGAAACACCTTGTACACACGACACACCTTGTACACATGACGACCTTGTACACACGACACACGACACACCTTGTACACACGACACACCTTGTACACATGACACACCTTGTACACACGAAACACCTTGTACACATGACACACCTTGTACACACGACACACCTTGTACACACGAAACACCTTGTACACATGACACACCTTGTACACATGACACACCTTGTACACACGACACACCTTGTGCAGATGACACACCTTGTGCAGATGACACACCTTGTGCAGATGACACACCTTGTGCAGATGACACACCTTGTGCAGATGACACACCTTGTACACATGACACACATTGTACACATGACACACCTTGTGCAGATGACACACCTTGTGCAGATGACACACCTTGTGCAGATGACACACCTTGTACACACGACACACGACACACATTGTACACACGACACACGACACACCTTGTACACACGACACACCTTGTACACACGAAACACCTTCTACACACGACACACCTTGTACACATGACGACCTTGTACACACGACACACGACACACCTTGTACACACGACACACCTTGTACACACGAAACACCTTGTACACACGACACACCTTGTACACATGACGACCTTGTACACACGACACACGACACACCTTGTACACACGACACACCTTGTACACACGACACACCTTGTACACACGACACACCTTGTACACATGACACACCTTGTTCACATGACACACGTTGTACACACGACACACCTTGTACACACGACACACCTTTTACACACGACACACCTTGTACACATGACATACCTTGTACACATGACACACGACACACCTTGTACACATGACACACCTTGTGCAGATGACACACCTTGTACACATGACACACCTTGTACACATGACACATCTTGTGCAGATGACACACCTTGTACACATGACACACCTTGTACACACGACACACTTTGTGCAGATGACACACCTTGTGCAGATGACACACCTTGTACACACGACACACCTTGTACACACGACACACCTTGTACACACGACACACCTTGTACACATGACACACCTTGTTCACATGACACACCTTGTGCAGATGACACACCTTGTGCAGATGACACACCTTGTGCAGATGACACACCTTGTACACATGACACTCCTTGTACACATGACACACCTTGTGCAGATGACACACCTTGTGCAGATGACACACATTGTACACATGACACACCTTGTACAGATGACACACGACACACCTTGTACACACGACACACCTTGTGCAGATGACACACGTTGTACACATGACACACCTTGTACATATGACACACCTTGTGCAGATGACACACCTTGTACACATGACACACATTGTACACATGACACACCTTGTACACACGACACACCTTGTGCAGATGACACACCTTGTACACATGACACACCTTGTACAGATGACACACCTTGTACACACGACACACCTTGTACACACGACACACCTTGTACACATGACACACATTGTACACATGACACACATTGTACACATGACACACCTTGTACACACGACACACCTTGTGCAGATGACACACATTGTACACACGACACACCTTGTACACATGACACACCTTGTACAGACGACACACCTTGTACACACGACACACGACACACCTTGTACACACGACACACCTTGTACACAACACACCTTGTGCAGATGACACACCTTGTACACACAACACACCTTGTGCAGATGACACACCTTGTACACACAACACACCTTGTGCAGATGACACACCTTGTACACACGACACACCTTGTACACACAACACACCTTGTACACACGACACACCTTGTACACACGACACACCTTGTACACATGACACACGACACACCTTGTAAACACGACACACCTTGTACACACGACACATGACACACCTTGTACACTCGACACACCTTGTACACACGACACACCTTGTACACACGACATACGCTGTGTACTTACAAAGCAGATAATTATATATGATGGTGATATATCGAGATCCAAACCTAACGGGGAAATCACCGTGATACTGTCTCTATACAGTTTATACACTGCCCTTGTGTCGCCAGTAGGCTACCGCTATATCACCGTGATACTGTCTCTATACAGTTTATATACTGCCCTTATGTCGCCAGTAGACTACCGCTATATCACTGTGATACTGTCTCTATACAGTTAGTTTATACACTGCCCTTGTGTAGCCAGTAGACTACCGCTATATCACTGTGGTACTGTCTCTATACAGTTTATACACTGCCCTTATGTCGCCAGTAGACTACCGCTAAATCACCGTAATACTGTTTCTATACAGTTTATACACTGCCCTTATGTCGCCAGTAGACTACCGCTATATCACCGAAATACTGTTTCTATACAGTTTATACACTGCCCTTGTGTCGCCAGTAGGCTACCGCTATATCACCGTGATACTGTCTCTATACAGTTTATACACTGCCCTTATGTCGCCAGTAGACTACCGCTATATCACCGAAATACTGTTTCTATACAGTTTATACACTGCCCTTGTGTCGCCAGTAGGTTACCGCTATATCACCGTGATACTGTCTCTATACAGTTTATACACTGCCCTTGTGTCGCCAGTAGACTACCGCTATATCACCGAAATACTGTTTCTATACAGTTTATACACTGCCCTTGTGTCGCCAGTAGGCTACCGCTATATCACCGTGATACTGTCTCTATACAGTTTATACACTGCCCTTGTGTCGCCAGTAGGCTACCGCTATATCACCGTGATACTGTCTCTATACAGTTTATACACTGCCCTTATGTCGCCAGTAGACTACCGCTATATCACCGAAATACTGTTTCTATACAGTTTATACACTGCCCTTGTGTCGCCAGTAGGTTACCGCTATATCACCGTGATACTGTCTCTATACAGTTTATACACTGCCCTTATGTCGCCAGTAGACTACCGCTATATCACTGTGGTACTGTCTCTATACAGTTTATACACTGCCCTTATGTCGCCAGTAGGTTACCGCTATATCACTGTGGTACTGTCTCTATACAGTTTATACACTGCCCTTATGTCGCCAGTAGACTACCGCTATATCACCGTGATACTGTCTCTATACAGTTTATACACAGCCCTTATGTCGCCAGTAGACTACCGCTATATCACCGAAATACTGTTTCTATACAGTTTATACACTGCCCTTGTGTCGCCAGTAGGTTACCGCTATATCACCGTGATACTGTCTCTATACAGTTTATACACTGCCCTTGTGTCGCCAGTAGACTACCGCTATATCACCGAAATACTGTTTCTATACAGTTTATACACTGCCCTTGTGTCGCCAGTAGGCTACCGCTATATCACTGTGATACTGTCTCTATACAGTTTATACACTGCCCTTGTGTCGCCAGTAGGCTACCGCTATATCACCGTGATACTGTCTCTATACAGTTTATACACTGCCCTTATGTCGCCAGTAGACTACCGCTATATCACCGAAATACTGTTTCTATACAGTTTATACACTGCCCTTGTGTCGCCAGTAGGTTACCGCTATATCACCGTGATACTGTCTCTATACAGTTTATACACTGCCCTTATGTCGCCAGTAGACTACCGCTATATCACTGTGGTACTGTTTCTATACAGTTTATACACTGCCCTTATGTCGCCAGTAGACAACCGCTATATCACCGTGATACTGTCTCTATACAGTTTATACACTGCCCTTATGTCGCCAGTAGACTACCGCTATATCACTGTGGTACTGTCTCTATACAGTTTATACACTGCCCTTGTGTCGCCAGTAGACTACCGCTATATCACCGTGATACTGTCTCTATACAGTTTATACACTGCCCTTATGTCGCCAGTAGACTACCGCTATATCACCGTGATACTGTCTCTATACAGTTTATACACTGCCCTTATGTCGCCAGTAGACTACCGCTATATCACCGTGATACTGTCTCTATACAGTTTATACACTGCCCTTATGTCGCCAGTAGACTACCGCTATATCACCGTGATACTGTCTCTATACAGTTTATACACTGCCCTTATGTCGCCAGTAGACTACCGCTATATCACTGTGGTACTGTCTCTATACAGTTTATACACTGCCCTTATGTCGCCAGTAGACTACCGCTATATCACCGTGATACTGTCTCTATACAGTTTATACACTGCCCTTATGTCGCCAGTAGACTACCGCTATATCACTGTGGTACTGTCTCTATACAGTTTATACACTGCCCTTATGTCGCCAGTAGACTACCGCTATATCACCGTAATACTGTCTCTATACAGTTTATACACTGCCCTTATGTCGCCAGTAGACTACCGCTATATCACCGTGATACTGTCTCTATACAGTTTATACACTGCCCTTATGTCGCCAGTAGACTACCGCTATATCACTGTGGTACTGTCTCTATACAGTTTATACACTGCCCTTATGTCGCCAGTAGACTACCGCTATATCACCGTGATACTGTCTCTATACAGTTTATACACTGCCCTTATGTCGCCAGTAGACTACCGCTATATCACTGTGGTACTGTCTCTATACAGTTTATACACTGCCCTTATGGTGTCGTAAGACTGATGTATTAATACATTTAAAACATAAAAAGAGTATTTGTCAAAATATACTTTATTGATAGACGTTCATGATAAAGAAATAAGAGATGAAAAATTCATAAATACGTGTTACAATATAAATGCATAAATTAGTAATATCAAATTTATGAAATGAAATGAAAGGTATCTATGTAAGTATGTAACAATAAAAAGTGAACTTGTTAAGTTACAATTTAACAGACCATACATGAGTTAGTTGGATGTGATTAGTGCCATATATAAGTCTTTAAAGGAACGGTGGAGTAATGGTCTACAGTGCAAAAGACTTGGTGGATTTGGTTTCATAATTAGAAGCTGACCAAAGTGATATGGTTTCATTCTACCGAACCGTGGTTGTCTATATCTAACTTCCTACTCTAGATTAACATGAAAGTTTTGTAACCTGTGGCAAGATACGTTGAAGTGACCTTGCCCTCTTAGTCAAAATTAAAGCCTGGAGATTTCAGTTTACATAAACATATAGGAAAGTGAGGTAGGTGAATGTTCCTTATTCCCGACAAAATCATCGCGTCGTGCTTACAGCTGGAATTGAAGATTTGGGAAAAAAATTAATAATGAAGTATCACACTAAGACATATTTGTACAAATGACCGGATCAATACAAATATGCTATGTGAATGTATTAGTTACCACGGGTTGATTCCAAACGAGCTAACTGATATTTTCTAAATGATTCTAATATTTCAACATATCATTCACTGCGCACAGCAAGGAACATTTAAAAAAGTTCCAAAACACGACTGAATTTCTTCATACAGGCAATCTACCACAAATAAACAGTCCCTTTCTTTCTACTTATGTCGAAAACACATTAAACCTCCACTGGGTCCGCGGCTGTGACATGCGTCAGCTTGGTAGCGTTAGTAAATTTAGCTGCACTTGTCGACGCTTGGAATTGTTGAGATTTCACCGAGAGTCGTAGATGCAGGTGAACTGTCGCTGGAGACCACACACGCAGGCAGCACAGCCCATTCTGGTGTTGGTTATTGACATCAGCTGCAAAGAAATAACATTAGACTAAAAGTGTAGGAGGGTTTAATGTACACCAGTATTCGAGTCAGTATTCCTTCGTTTTTATATCTATGATATTTGTCCCAAAAGAACCCCTCTTAACCAATTCATGTTGCTGTTTCTGAAATATCCACAGTCGTGAGAAATGTAGTAAACTGCATCATATGGCACTCTCCGAATTTAAAATGACAGATGGTTCGTGAGCAACGAACAAAGAGCCTTTATAGTTGCGTAGCATTGAATGTCAAAGCGGAAATGCTTACATTGGTGTTGTGGTTGCATGTTGCAGCATCGCTCGGTGTCCGACACCCGCCTGTCACCAGTGTGATGCCGGTGTTGCTTCCCTCGTCTCCCCACTCATACACCAGCTCGTACAGAAGGGTGGCCTGTCGACACAAACACTCTGATAAGAAACACCAACATACTTAGCCTTCAGAATCACTGACATGCCCTTCATTTAACTGTAGCTGTTCTGTCAAGGTGGTATTAATACAGTACTCCTAGCAGTTCCAGAGTGAGAGACGGGTATCTCTGAACCACGTTCATAGTGATACCGTACTCTAAAACAATACGTTCCTGAGAGAAATGCCAAACTCATAGAATAACTAGTTTCGATTATCCGCCGAAAAAGATTCCATTGCGCGCAAACCACGTTCATAGTGATACAGTACCCCCTAAGCTAGCGGTTCCAGAGTGAGAAACGGGTATATTTAAACCCCCGTTCATAGTGATACAGTACCCCCTAACCTAGTGGTTCCAGAGTGAGAAACGGGTATATCTTAACCCCAGTTCATAGTGATACAGTACCCCCTAAGCTAGTGGTTACAGAGTGAGCAACAGGTATATCTAAACCCAACATAGTGATACAGTACCCCCTAAGCTAGCGGTTCCAGAGTGAGAAACGGGTATATCTAAACCCCAGTTCATAGTGATACAGTACCCCCTAAGCTAGTGGTTACAGAGTGAGCAACAGGTATATCTAAACCCAACATAGTGATACAGTACCCCCTAAGCTAGCGGTTCCAGAGTGAGAAACGGGTATATCTAAACCCCAGTTCATAGTGATACAGTACCCCCTAAGCTAGTGGTTACAGAGTGAGCAACAGGTATATCTAAACCCAACATAGTGATACAGTACCCCTTAGCTAGCAGGTACAGAGTGAGAATTGAGTACATGTATATCTAAACCACTTTCATTATTAACCAATACAGTATTCGTAGCGGTTCAAGACTGAGAAATGAGTATCTCTTGACCATATAGATTGTGATAGACTAATCAAGGCGGCTCTGTAGAGAGAAACGAGTGTCTCTAAATGAAGGATAAGCAGAAGCAACGATGTGTATAGAACTTACTGCGCCTGTTTTGCCAAAGTTGGTGTAGGCAGTGCGAGGTCCCGGGTATTCAATATCGCAGCGGATGACGTACTGGGCCCATTGCTCCAGCTCATCACTCCAAGTCTGTAACAACAATGTCTACTTCAAGCACTAATCTCGTAAACCATTGTCTGTCTTTAATCCATTTTTATGTGAGGTACAAGACTATCATCTAGATGCTGCGAATATGTAGTCTGACATACCAGTGGAGCAGCCATTTCCCTGGCCCTCAGGTTGTTTGTGACGAGCAGGACAAAGTGCACCTCCTGGGTTGTCATGGAGGCTGGATAAGACAAACATGTTACAAAGTTACAAAAAGACATTGAAAGAAATACTGCATACGAAATCGACACGTGAAGATCCGGGGTAGAATAACTCATCAGCAATTTATTCTTGCCGTAAAAGTCGACTGTGCTTGTCGTAAGAGGCGACTATCGGGATCGGGTGGTGAGGCTCGCTGACTTGGTTGATGGATGTCATCGTATTCCAATTGCGTGGATCGATTCTCATGATGTCAATCACTGGATTGTCTGGTTAAGACTCGATTATTTACAGACCGCCGTCATATACCTGGAATATTGCTGAGTGCGGCGTTAAACAACAAACAAACAAGCATACGAAATCTTAACCCTTCTCATAGAATAACGAGTACCATCTAATTAGGTAATCTAATTTTTTATTTTAAAAACAACAACCTAAAACAGACTTTTCTGATACATTGTCTGGAAAAGGTTTGCTCTGTGTGTGGGATTATATATTGAAGTAATCTGTGTAAAGCATGGGTTTTCATGGATATGAGACTGGACTAGGTGTACTCACGGATACAGACCGAGGGAACAACCACGGGCGGTTCAATGGCGGGCACTCTCTCGGGAACGTTGGCTACTCCACTACCCCCGGGAGCAACTTCAGGCCCGAGAAGGTTTTGTGCTTGCGATGACTGTATCATTACTACAAGAATAACGTTGTTTCAATTGTATTGCTCAGGTAAATATTGCCTGTGTTGTTTAAAGTTCAGTCACACAAAGGTATTTATTTTTCAAACATTCGTCAGGTGGGGTGTTAAATTTTGTTATGACCTTTTATAACTACGAGGCATGCTTAGGGATTGGATATTTCAGTTTGGATTGATTGAATAAAAATCCTTACCACCCGGGACACACAGATCTGCTTCACAGACCATCCCCGCAGGGCAGAGCGAACAGGCTACGCCAGGGGTAAAGGGAAAGTCATTTGTCATTTCACCCCTGAAAAATACAATGGCAATAGATTACACATTACTACACTTAAATCACTACAGACTGTAACATTAAAAAATATTATTATACATTGTTAGGTTCGAACAATTGCTGTTCTCTTGGGCTTTGTCTTCACCAGCTGTGTAAGTGACCATTGACTCAATTGATTGTGGAAATAACTCATTTCATATTAAGTTTGCCGTCATGGTTAAGTTCCGTTAGAAAATATTTAACAAATAGGACCAACACAGACTTCCTCATTAGCACATGAAGCTGTAGGGACAAAACGGCGTTAGTTACTGACTGAGTTGTAGTGTGGTATTCCAGTATATAGTCTATAATTAACGTTTAAACATTGTCAAGGTTTTTCTATTGGACTACATTTCGTCCACTGTTCTTATATAAAAGGGCGGTGGGGTAGCCACGTGGTTAAAGCGTTCACTCGTCAAGCGAAAGGCTCGGGTTCGACCCCCCACAATGGTACAATGTGTACAGCCCATGTCCCTCGCCATGATACTGCTGGCATATCGATAAAAGTATCGATTTCCATACTTACTCACTAAGTCACTCATTAATATAGATACCGAGAGACCCGTAAAGACCCAGGTAAGAATAGGTCTTCAGCAACCCATGCTTGTCGTAAAAGGCGACTATGTTTGTCGTAAGAGGCGAGTAACGGGATCGGGTGGTCAGAATTGCTGACTTGGTTAATGCATGTCATCGTATCCCAGTTGAGTAGATCGATGCTTATAATATCAATCACTGGATTGTCTGGCCTAATTTCGATTATTTTCAGACCGCCGTCATATAGCTGGACTATTGATGAGTGCGGCGTTCAACAACGATTAAACAAAACTTAGATACCCAAAACCAAGGACAGTTGCCAGCGTAGTCGTATTGTAAGTTCAGTACATCTCACATGCATTAAATAGTTGTGATATAAGCGTGAGTCTGTCAGTTGAGTTCAACGCCCCTTTGAACAGTATTTCAGTTATTTCACGGCATGTGAGATCAATGAGGGAAAAGACATTAGATTTTCACCGTGAATAATTGTACTTTTTGAAACATTTGTGACGGCAAGTCACTGACATGGCGATGTGATATTGCAATGTACACCCTGGATAAATGATAACGCGGAGAGCTCGTACAGTTTTTCTGTTTATCTGACCGTGGATGGATGCCGGATTTCCATCGTACAGCATCCTCTTAAACAATACCCATTACCGTACATTATAGGTTGTAGCAGGATCACGAGGGGTGCATTATAGGTTGTAGCAGAATCACGAGGGTTACGTTATAGGTTGTAGCAGGATCACGAGGGGTGCATTTTAGGTTGTAGCAGGATCACGAGGGTTACATTATAGGTTGTAGCAGGATCACGAGGGGTGCATTATAGGTTGTAGCAGGATCACGAGGGTTACATTATAGGTTGTAGCTGAATTTATCTTACCGACATGCTTTAATATGACATTGTAAAATAATTCAAACAAATTCCAAATTGATACATTCGATTGAGCTAAGGTTAGCTTGTGCTATGTCATGTGACATCCATTGCTTTGAAGCGGGGTATAGCGTTTTATGGCGGGGTATAAGAGAATAATTCCCGCGCTGAGAAATTTATTCCCCTCCAAGGCGGAGTACACAGTATTTTTTTTCAAGATCACGTGGACCAATCAGATCTCATCATTTCGACATGGAGGTATGATAAAAGGCCTTATACAAGATGTGATATCGCCTTCTTCGTGTCACGGATTGTTTTTCACCCTCAACCCCTGGATGATGAGAGATGGATATACAGTGAAATCAGTTGTTATGTTTTAAATCGATCCAACTTTATGGTGCCCGAAAATCCTTATCACCATTATACCCTAATAACAACCCTCCGCTTGCTTGGAACTTTGGATCTGAGTTCACGTTAACCAGTAGTCAACAGTCTGTGTCATTGTGGCATACCAAGAGAAAGTCATGGCATGTAGCTGACACGCGAGTCTGCATATCCATTCCTAAACTCTTTAAGAACACATACAATGTACTCTACTGCCTTCACCCAGCTGTCTACACATTAGGTATAAGTCACCTCGAGAAAACGACTGACCCTTGGTGAACCACAAAGTACCTTCCAGATTTATTTAACCCTGTCAAAGATTCGACTACCCTAGGTCTTATCGAAATTGGTTGGACGCTTTATAAACCCCAATACACTACACACATTTCTCTGTATGAAAGTCGGAAAAAGTTCTGAATCTTTTGTTTGTATGATGTACTTTGGACGGCAATTCGAACCAAGTGAATATCACTTATCCACGTTGAAATTATGTCTAAGTCAGATTATTTTTTTCATTTGATTAAACAGTCTGCAGTACGAAACAGTACGAAACATGAGACGTTCAGGAAGTAAACATTTTCAGGGAAACGACTTGTGTCAAATTGTACATTAAGCAATGTCACAATAGAAACATTTTCACCAATGTAACTCGCAGTCTTTACAACTTCACTAAATTGACATTTGTAAACAATACTTGAATGACTGAAAGCATAACGCATGCCTTTAACGTACTCGAGGTGAACGTTTCCTTGTAAGTCCCTGCGGGCAACACTTTAGATGTTGGTGATAGGGCACATAATCAGGGGAAATAACTATTTCTATATAGTTTCATGTCCGTTCAATATAACTTTACTTACTCTTACTTGATTAGGTTTTAGTTTATATATTTGTCCTGTTCATATGATTTTCATTGATGTCATTTACAAAATCTTCACATTTTCCAAAATTTCCTCAGATTATAATTCCATGCTGTACTAACTGTAACTGAACCTCAACTGATAATACTCACTTTGGGGAATAGAAGCATGCGAAGATTGTTGTATAACGCTTCTCATAAGCACCAGTCTTCATTCGTGGGCATCTGTGCATAGCACAGCCAATGTTGCTGGATGTGGACCACACCACCTGCACAGGGAAGCACGATAGGATGATGCATACATGAGTTGGGTTTTATTATTTTAACATCATTTTAGATCAAACAGGTTTGACGGCAAATGCGAGAGGACGTAGACATTTATGCCGCATTGATGGAACCTACGAGCAAGTGTCATATGAGGGGATTCACTTTGGGGGGTTATTCAGCAAGCGGGTGAAGTTCTGAAGAGGTATGATTAATCTTGATATCAAACTTACAGAGACATGTCCCCTGGAGGATTAGCCTGGATGATCCTTTTTAGAGGAGTGTAGATGGATAGATTTTCTAGGAAAATGGATTCCTGAAGGTTGGTGAGACATACAGAATGTATGTACCAATGCATCGCGCTTCAGAAATTGTTTAATGCAAAACTAGCTTTACGCACCATTTAACAGTAAACAGACAACGGTCGCATTACACATCGCCGCGTGTCCAAATATACGACACAGGAAAAATACTATTAGAGGGCAATATGTGTGAACAGGATTTCAATCTAGGTAATAAACTAACCTGAAATATGGTATTCTGGCATTATACTCAGCTGTTATTAGAACCAAACTGATGTTTATTCCTATATCACGTGTGTCTTCTCACCTGCGAATATGCGCAGGCACTGCCACAATCTGTTCCATACCGGAAGTAGAGTTGATCATTCTTCCAGGACGTGACAGCCTTGTGCACAGTACGGTCAATTCCTTCCCAGGTGCGGACCATGTGGGGTGCATAGTACAGGTTCTGACCACATCCGCTGATGTGGGAAGGAGCACGCTCATATCGACAATACTTCACCCAGTTCTCAGCCTCCTTCGCGACACCATCATCCCACACCTATAATGTTGAAAGCAGGATTGTGATGACCATTTGTGCACGGTACACAAGTGTATTGAAAAACTCATTTTACCTGTTAAATATCGTATTTGTAAAACTGCCACTTACTGTAATAAAGTGTCCACAAACAGTAGTTCGTTAAGCCCATATACGCTTCCGGGTGATCGGAATGTTCGGGATACCTTACTTCGTGATATCCGGGAGCTGATTCATTATTCCTACAAATTTTGTACATCAAATTTGTCACGGTATGTTGGTTCAAGCATAACAAGCCATGACAGAGCAAAATGACAACTGAAATAGGCAACATTTCCTGTTTCGAATTCAGATAGGTTTTGCTACTTCCCGTCAAACAATAAAGAGGTGAACGTTTGCGAGGCATAAATCTGCTTCAGATGTGTGATAGTCTGTATTTTGTACATTCTTACAGTGCGTTTCATGTTCTCACAAACTATGCTGCGATCATTACATAACCCGGTTTACACAATGTGAGGGCAATGTGTCTGGTGGATTTACTTTCACCTCACCTCACGAGACTGACCACAGTAGCCAGTAAACACAATGGACGTAATGTGATCTGACCTCAAAGGAAAATATGTCAACTGAGCTCAAGCGTTTCTACGTCATTCACAGTTGTGTACACTGAATGGAGTATATGGCAAATGTCCGTTTACGTGTCTTTGTATAGTTTACGTTATTGTCAACTTATGTGGAAATTGGAAGTAAAACTTCATAATAACATAACTGACAAGGATAACATTATACTTTGGCCGGTACATACTTTAAAAATAATGTTCCATAGTTATGTATAATATTTTGCAGCTACGTGGCATGTCTTTATATCTATTTTGAAACATAAACCTTGTGTATATGATATACCAAACATTTAGAGTAGAATGATACACGAATTTAGAGTTGAAAGCTAGCTATAAACTTGTTCTTTCCACGAAAAAATACAAACATTTCCAGCACGGTGTACGAATATTCCCCCGAAGGAAGCTTGGTGTTTAATAACTGATCCCACGGATAGGCCTGCTATAAAGGGCGAGCTTCTCTTTGAATCGTGTAAGAGTTGCATAACATTATCGACTGTGTAATCAATCAGCTCGCTCAGCAGGTCACCCAGCACAGACCCAGGACTCAGTTGCGACTGGGTCAGTTGCTCGATTTACGCTTTCAGCTTAATCGTGCACTCATGCATTGTTGAATCTGTACTGACTTAATGTCAGTGAGCATTCAAAGGCTGACACTGCCGGTTATCTGTTAGAATTGACAGCAGACAGGAACCTGGAGTCAGTGGCAGATAACGAAGATACCGTTGTACTTGTGTGTGACAAATATTAAAAGTAACCCGGGTATTGGTATCATCATGTGCCAGAGTTACCTGTGTACAGCTGCAGATGGAGATGTGGTGTTTTGTCACACTATGCGCTGGTGGGAATATATATTTATAATGACATTAACAGCGTAAAGTGTGAGAGTTGTCACTTAATGCAAATAGGCATTCTTTGTACTACGGCATTTTCGACAGAATCTGCAATACGAGTATTTCATTCACCATTGCATGTAATGACGGAAATATGCACTGGGCAGCAAACCTCATGGAGTAGTGATTTTGACCTTCGCTATCTAACTGGAAGTTCTCCTGACCTTTCACCCCTCCTGCATGAGAATCGTGTCTGATGTCTGCGGTCAAGTTGTTCTAAACATGCACTGTTTGTATGAGTAGAACTGTTCACCATACATTACAACTTTTCTTGAATAGTTGCATTATCCAATAAGTTAAAACAGGTAAGCATATTTGAGTTACGTTGGCTTGTCACAAAAAGAAAGTACCTGAGCAGTGTGCTTGTGATGTCATTACATGTAATGAAGCCTTGATCGAAAGTGTCAGGAGCACACTTCAGTGATGAGCTGTGAACAATGTGGAGTTCCATTCAGCTTCGTCCCGAACGAGCAACTCTCCATCAATCACCTCAACATTTCAACAAATTCGTGCAGACGGCAGATGAGGATATACAGATTATTTCCCTCAGGCATGAAACAAAAGTATGGAGTTGTTGTTGCATTCCACTACATGAGCTATCAACGCGGGCAACCGGGGCCTCCCCTTGTATTGCCTTTCGCCTCCCTCATGTAGGCCAGTACACAAGGATAAATCAATTAGTCAAGGTCTCCGCCTCCTACCTCCGGAGGGTCTTACAGTACTGATATTAGCTCCTTCAAGGAAGGTCTATTGTTACATAGCGTGTGGTAGTAGTCAATTTCCAGATATGTATTTATCCGGCGTCTATTGGTGATTTCCGTTGTCCGGCTCCTGCTTGAAACAAAATGATACGTTCAGGAGTTTGTAACGCATCTCCGTCTGTCTACTTGTGACTGATATCACAGCTCATCGCGATGTTACATGATATTCTTCTTCATGATATGTTAAGAAGACTACACATATAAGTAAAACTATGTCTATACAGGAAGTTCACCTCATGCCCTAAGTATAATTATACCATATTCGTTTTCACTACTTTTTTAGCATTGTTTCATAGTAGTGTGTTCTAAGTAGAGTGAACCCTTTTCGTCTGCATGGATTTATGTGCAGACAAACCCTGACCTCCAAGAGTGGCAATGATGTGATACCTGGCGTTAGGCTGGATAACGAGGACGTGTACATCTTGATTAAACTTGAAAGGGACTGACTCTTCAACATGTATCAAAGGAAGAAACTTTGTCACGATTCATCTTCTTACTTAAAATATATCAGGTTTGCATCCGATTTTTGTGAAATTGAGGCAGACTCTCAGTCAACCATCGGCTCCTATCATGGATCTGTACCCAACTGGGTACATGTATCATCCCCGTTATAAGTGAACATTGGAATCATTAGTCACATGACGCTTACTTCAAGGCAATATGTTTTGCAGCATGCGATTTATTGCTATATGGTAGAATGAAATCAGATCAGTGGAGTATAAATTATGGGTTTGCTGATTTTAATGGTAGTAATTGAAAACGACATAATTAACACCACAATAAGCACATTTTTACCACCTAGTTAACTGCAGTAAACTACGTTTTTAACGAACTCAAGGGGGACCCCTAATTTTAGTTCGTTATGACCGTAGTTCGTTATAAGCATACACATATATCAAATGGATGAAAAACAGTTCGTCAGATCCTTCAAAACGTTATAAGCGTATAAGTGTTCGTTATAAACATAGTTTACTGTACATTACATAAAATGTATCTTGAACTGAATATATCTCAGTGGAACGAGATATTGTTACGCTGCACATTTTTATATTCTGTGTAAATATACATGTTACTTGATTATGGGGATACCAAGCTTTTATCGGTTAGTAGGACCTGTAACCTATTGCAATAATTATACAGGCAAAGTCACTTAATCGTGAAACTAGATACTTCTATCAGGTACTATGAATACCACAAGAATGCTAGTGGGACCAAGACGCCGCAACAGCTATATATTCCATGTATTTATGATAGGTACAAACTCTCCTGTGAGAAGTATTTGTGCAAACGTTCGTTATATATAATATAGCGGAAGCGGTTTTAATTCCGATGTTCATAAACGATCACCATCAACAATTATTATAATTTAAAAAATGCAGCAAAGAGGGTTTGGGTGATCCTGGCATAGTCAGGCTGGTTAGGCTCATCATCAGCTCAGGGCCCTTGCCCCCTCTACACGCAGCCCAGACAGCGAATGGGACTTCTCCCGGGAAGCGCTGCCTAGTCAAACCCATCCAGAACTTTCGATGAATGTAAAGACTCCCCATCACTGCCCCCATTAATATTATATGCCGCAGGTATCCATGTACTGCTATCTGCTCAATTACGGTTTTATTTGTTCCCCGACCAGTTGATCCGTTTGCTTTACAGTTATCTTTCTCAACTCCCTGGGGAGTATATACGTACTTAATAACGAGAATGGCAAAAGAATATTCCAGTTGATATTCTTATAGAATATTATTATTAGAAACACAATATTCTATGTTGTGTATATATATAATATATTGTAGAACGATGGATCTGTCTGTGTATAATATATATCTATGACGTTTTTCCTAACAACAAAAACATCACTGTCATTGTAAACACGTCATTCATACATATGTTATTATCCTTGTCCTTGTAAGTCTGGTTTGAAAAACACATATGTTATACACATGTGCTGACAGCGTCATACAGCTTACTTCTGGGTAGGTATCAACATGACAAGTGCAATCACAGCCTACAGTAAAGCTAGTGAGGCCACAAACGTGGAATATACCTCAGTGTGTCATTCTCAGAGCTTGTGTTACGTGAAATATACAGCTGCTCATACACATGTTGTAATTTACAGTAGAGGCCGCTACCTGCCACTTGTCATGCAGAAACTCATACCATGTCAGTATCACCCATGCTGACGTGCGGGCCGATCAGATAACAGACGTGGTATCTTAACACTGTTTCCTTTATATACTGTATTTAACAGTGACGAAAAACCGCGTGTCCCAGTTCACATCAGTATCTGATGTACCGTCTATGGCATGAAGTCAGCGTGTTTTCAATTTGCTTAGTTAACCAAAACAAAATCAAGAATACATTGAGCACACGTTATACCTGTCATACATACGTTGAAAGTATAGGGACAAATATGCTGATACTAAAAACTTTCATTATGTGTTAACTTCCACGTATTATATGTATGTGTATCTTTTATCACGGACATGGTGATATACGGGGTTGGGTGCAGCATACCTCAATGAATAGTCTACCATAACGTCGGGTATCATAAATTTTCAACAGTACCCTTGGCTCTGTTATACATTTATCACAAAACCTATATCTTTGTTAACTATGCCTATATTGAGTGATATTGTTCGAAACCTTTTTCTGTCTAAGTTTGGAAAGTAAAACCTTAACTTGATTCATTTTGGATATATACAAAAGGCAGGTAAGGATAGACTAGATTTTGTTTCAAATAGACGAATAATTGGTAATATATTTTGTTTTACTTATGCAATACTTTCTTACCATTTTCTGCATGTCCGAAGCCCCAACTTCTCTTCTTATTTCATTGTGGATATCTACTACAGTACTATGATATAGACTGATGTCCACTAGTTCTGCAGTACATAAAGGCAACAGCACCACTACTACAGCCAACAGGTTGCACAACTGCTCACAGACACCCATCTTCACAGGGGAACTTCAGCACTGGAGCAAGAAAGCGGCTTCCTGATGTCTTCCTCCTGAAGGCTGAGGCTTCGTGTCCAGAAGGCACCCTCCCTGTCGTTTTATAAACAGTCCAGGCTGAAAAAGCCGATATCTCGATTCGAAATCATTGATATCGATACACTGCATATACCCGGCTTTGTGCTCGCAGACAGTTGTTAATATTCATGGAAAAATAGCCAAGGAATTTGAGACTTGGGAGCCGTGCAAGAGAGTCCCCTTGCTACACTATTTTGTGACAACAGGACTCCGTTGACGCTTGGGTTGGAGCGTGTGTTAGGCTAGTCTCTTGCCATGCGCTTGTCTCATCTCGGTAAGACTGGCCTGGGTCCACTTGCAGAGGCGTGTGTGAACGCAGATTGGTGGTGATAACCATGTAACTAACATAGACATCAGTCTAGCTGCAGTCGCGATATCTGTCATGTAGACCGTCGGGAATAACTTACGTGAGCATTAAAATAATCTCTGTATCATTAGGTAAATGGCAGGTGTGTATTACCTCGGGAAAAAGATATAAATAATAGTTGATATATTTCACATCCACACTGTCAAAGAACTTAGGCATATTTTTCACAAATGTACATAGTATGTTCATCAAGTCTATGCGTATCCTACTTCTCTTTTCGGGTCATGAAAATAGTTATTGGAGGTTCAGTTCCATCTAGAAAGACGCATATTGTTGGGAATTTTTAAAATATAATGTCGGTGTTTGTGAAATCATCTGAAATCAAATTGCACAATTTCTCAAGTGGGAAAAGTGTTCTACTCGTAACGCACTTGACATAATATGCATCACGTCCTGTTAATACAATCAAAAATATTAATCCCATTGCTGTATGTATTAACATGACGCACACTATACTTAATGACTTAATATATAAATGTTTTAAACATATATGACGCTGATGTTAGATAAGGAAAATGTCAAGTCTGCCCTCTTAAATGTTCTACACGCGAGTCTATTTGTATGCCAAAGATTTGTATAAAATGTAACCCGGTAGCAGGTGAGAAGAGATATTATCCCAACACAAATATTGCATGCCAATATTTGCATATAATAAATCATTTCACTTGTTTGCTCGGGCAAAAGCGTTTTCAAAAAGGGACTGACCTGGGCTAACCCCAGGACGCTGGACTTGCGCTTAGGTGGCACAATGAGTAGATGAAAGCATAAGGGACAATGAATCATGTAGTTCTTTTCGAACAAGTATTATAATCGCACCTATATTTTTATACCAGGTATTGTCATTTCAATTATTATCTTTCTGATCAGGTAAATGGTAATAGCACTCTATATGACGTAAATGTGCAGACCTATGTAACGTAATGGTGAAATGCTTGCTCTGCACAAAGCATAATATAATATAATGTAGACAGATGGTTGTTATCAGTAAAACATTAAGTTACTATTCACTTGTAATACTAGTATTCATTGGAATTAGATTTTTTTTAACTACGCTCCGGTATTAGACAAACACCAGTAGATAGAAATAAGTGTAGAAATCAGTTTTGTGTGAAAACTTCTAATTTTTAATTTCTTTGGCATTATTTAACATTTCGGCTAAAATGTTCAGCGTGATTTGTAAATGCTACATCTTGTGTTGTGTACTGTTCGACTGTACTGTTTTAATATATATAACCCTGAACAATGATAGCTTCATATGCCAGATATGAACAGTTTGCAATATAAGACTTGCGATATACACCAAATCTGACTTGTGACGTCAGTGTTCTACAGTTGGCCAAATGCAAATCAAACAATCCGGTTGAAAACTGTTATGTCTTTATTAGGCTTTCTTTCAGATAAAATCATAATATGTTTCATTCAAGCCGAGACTGTTCTGTTTTCAAAGTGACATTTTTTTCTCAACACAGACCTCCTTTCAGCACAAAACACTTGCTCACTTTGCTAATACCTTAACATCCCACACTACTGAAATGTGAAATTTGATCATTGAGGCTTAATGAGACACAAGCTAAAGAGAACATATTACTCGGTTTTTGCGGTTGTACATTTCGCCATACTATTGTTCATTTCACATTATATTTCAAACACGGGGTGGCGTTGATTTCATTTGTGTTTGTATAGTTAGTAAATCGTACAAACGTGACACTAAACATCCAAGTGAAGCAAGGCTGAGCAATGAAGCTGAGGTCAGAAGTTGGTTACATATCCAGATTTACGGCTGTCAGTATAACCCACGTTTTTTCAAGCAAATATACCTTTCAAATCCCTGCTTTGAAGTACCAGAGATCAATTTCAAAGGGATGTGATTTTCAACTTATATTGAATTCAGTAAATTCAAAAGAAACTATCAAATTAGCGTGGTTAAGAAACCTTTCAATTTACGCCACTTTGCTCAGTGAATGTAAACATGGTAATTAAAACGAAAAAATATGTGGGATGAACATATCTAAACTCAGTACACAAAACATACGCATATGTTAGACCAGTCAATTGTAACATGACTTTTCATAAAATAATTAAACTAAAGCCATAGGAAAATTTACACTGTTGCTGCATTGGCATTTTAGTAATAACTTATTGGAGTGACTTTTGTTTGATGATGTGCTAGGATTATGAGTCTTTGTCTCCGATCGGTGTCATTGAATATACATGCTACTTTAAAGTACTTTTTTATATACCAATCTTGAGGTTCTTATCGAAAGAGAGACGCGTAACCGAACATGTCAATATAATTTAAAAAATAGATGAAACATAATTGCAAATATCAGCAGCTCATCGAAATGTAAACTACAACTAAGGACTGGACAAAAAAAATAAGCTTTATGTATCTGAATGAATCCATTCATAACAATCCCTGTTCCCGTGTCAGGTAGACAACTATCTTGTTGTCTGAAGACGGGGGTACAAGCGTCTACAGCCAAATAGGCTTATCGACAAATCAATCGTTTCGTCTCTTGGGCCACCACCACGAGTTTCCATTGGAAATCTTTTTTTTAAGACATTCATTCATAACGTCTAGCTCTGACTTTTCACAAATGGAAATTTGTCTAGCCTTGATGTGGAACCACAATACCCGTTCAACGAGCGTCAATCCGCCAATCTGATAATCTGGACTAAACGAATATACCCGTCACGAATTTGAATAGAATAGGGAGAAACAATGATCTTTGCAGTAACACTGTGTCCATTTTGGCCTTGCGCGTTTTTAGGAATTTTCAGTAAATTTCATTTATGGCTTATCGATGCAAGATTTACATGTATTTTGTGTTGTATTCAGAATTGTATCCTATTTAATGTATTATTATTTAAGAAAACTTGTTCAGACAAGTTCCCAACCAAAAGACAATTATTTCAATTAATTAGTTCAGTTAAAAAACAAGTTAAGACGCAATATGTTATGCAACAATTGTCCAGGGAAATTTATAAAGGTATGCATGATTTTTCTATTGTTTAAACTTATGCTCACACCAGTGTCGAGGTTTATTGAGCATGCGTATGTCTGGATCTACAGCAATTGATTTGTAGCTACATTATTATATTCACATGTACATATATGTGAATACAGTGAAGCATCCACATAAATGTGCTCACAGATGCACATGTGCATCTACAATAATGCTGTCCACAGGTGGATTTATTTGAAGCTCCTATAATGCTACATGTTTATATCTGCATCTACAGAGATGTTATCCACAGGTCCATATCTGAAGCTACAATTGTGCTATTTACATGTGCATATCTGCATCTACAGAGATGTTATCCATAGGTCCATATCTGAAGCTACAATTGTGCTATTTACATGTGCATATCTGCATCTACAGAGATGTTATCCATAGGTCCATATCTGAAGCTACAATTGAGCTATTTACATGTGCATATCTGCATCTACAGAGATGTTATCCATAGGTCCACATCTGAAGCTACAATTGTGCTATTTACAAGTGCATATCTGCATCTACAGAGATGTTATCCATAGGTCCATATCTGAAGCTACAATTGAGCTATTTACATGTGCATATCTGCATCTACAGAGATGTTATCCATAGGTCCATATCTGAAGCTACAATTGTGCTATTTACATGTGCATATCTGCATCTACAGAGATGTTATCCATAGGTCCATATCTGAAGCTACAATTGTGCTATTTACATGTGCATATCTGCATCTACAGAGATGTTATCCATAGGTCCATATCTGAAGCTACAATTGTGCTATGTACATATTCTGCATCTCGTCGAAGCTGCAATTCAACCTCAATTGATACATTTCAAAATACATGGTTAAATTTAATGTTGAAATATAAATATATTCTTTCCAAAGAAACTGTAAACATATAACAGTCTTCAAGTTGTTCTTTTTCTCTTTCAAATTCTAAGAATTAAAATTGTTTTTCGATTTAGCATGTAACATTTCAAATATGTTATTTGTTATTTCTACTGTCATGTCCACTTTTTTAAGAAAGCATTTAGACAATAGTCACAAAATGTCATTCCAATGAAACCATAAACTTATTCAACATGAAAACTCAACTTTTTGAAAATGATTGAATAATGTGTTTAGCGTTGCATTTATGGTGTCATTAATGTTTATAAATGAAAATCGGGTATAATCATTATAGAATCCCGAAGCTGGCCGAAATTGTTATTATTAGTTTCAGCAACGGACCTACCTATCTTCGTCATAATTATGAAGTGTACAGAAAATTAAGGAGATCAATATAATAATTGAGCGTTCACTATATTGAGCACAGGGACCCCTTTTTGCCACAAACCGCAAATCCCCATTGCGTGTTAAGCCGAGGGATTAGGCATGATATTATCATAAATCTAGATTACAGCTGTGATTAATAAAGTAGCCCCCTTTGTGTCTAGGCCATTTCCCCTGAAAATATAGGTCAAGACTGCCAAATCATAGAAGGTATAGGGAGATATTTCCACTGCAGTGCACGGAATAATTATTTGTGTTATCAAAGTTTGAGTTGATGGGCCTACAGCTTTCCAAATCTCCACAGTTAATTGTGTCTCTACAATAGGAAGACACCCCAGAGCCGTATTTCCTTTACTTACCCATTGTCAACAAACAAGTCCACATGCTAATGACAGTTTCTCAAACTCTGCGCTTAACGTATGTGGCAATAATGATCTTTGGATCTCTTCATTCTGTGCAATTTTAACGTTGGTGAACTGTGCAAATTAGTGCAATCCATCAAATGATAATCATCCTCTGCTTTCATTCACACGAGACTAAACGCTCAGCATATCTTAGTCAAGGCCGACCAATCGTTATCTTAGATGGTCGCACGGTGCAATAGGTTAGTATAGCAGTCTTGGCATGGTTCCAAAGAAAGGGA